CCTGGAAAACCTTGGTTTTTATTGAATTAAATTTCAACCTAATAATAACATTTGTAATTTCAATCAAGAACCTTAATTTGATAAAAATAAGGTTTATAATTCATTGATATTTACAAATGTTAAATATTATTTAATGTTATACAAATGTAAAATTAAAGTCGATCTGAAAACGTCTAATTAGTAAGAATAGCAAAACAATTGTTTTCAAAAGGAAAAAAAAAACGCCGACGGATTGACAAAAGGCTATTTATTAGTAAACTTTTTATGCATGAACGGTTTCGAACTGTTTCAAGCAAAAATAAACCTTATACCATATCACAAGAGCACATGGTACTTCGTAGGTCTATTCGGCCATATGATAGTAATAAGACGGCAGTTCAACCATTTTAAGCAATATTAAACAATAAGAAAAACGCATTGTTTTTTTTAACAGGATACTTGTTTTCCAGAAATTTATTTACAACTTGAGTTTGTGAGCGATCGCAATGAGTACTATTATTTGTTACTTATTAGACTATTTTCCACAACATGATTTAAAACCCACAAAGTAAAAAGAGTACCATGTACAAGTTAAAAAAAGGTTGTCAACCCCTAAACATTTCAAATTTTCAAAATATCCAGAAACGAAGCTGCGGGCATGAACTACTTGCAAAATAACATCAAAATAATGAATATTTCGTTCTGGATAAATTTTCCAAAAACGCAATTTGAGCGAGTTATAACGATTTTTAAAAAGACACGACTCGAGTGTCATACGCCACACACAAAAGCAATCGATGGCACGCCTGGGGTGTTATCCGCACTGAATCGGTTAATAAAATGATAAATTTCCTTTAATATTATAATTTAAACAAAATTATTAATTTTATAAAAATTGAAAAGGATTATTGAATGATTTAATCCGTCAACATAAAAATTATTGTTCCTGTCTAGGTAAAAAAATAATTATTTACCATGGCCTAGTTTCTCATTTTTTCAGTTTTAATAGTAATCAATAAAAAATTATTGACTTCAATCCTACTAATATTAAAAATGTGAAAGTTTGTGAGGATGTATGGATGTTTGTTGTTGACTCTTCCACGCAAAAACTACCGAAACTATTTTAATGAAACTACAATAATATGTATAACTCATACATAACTACATTTAGTTAGTTCAAAAGTCATCTATCACCCTTATAAAAAGTTACGGCTGTAGAGAATTTGCAACTTGTTATTTTTTCCACCTTCATCTCTGGGCGGTTTATACTTTATACACATTGTCCTTTTTTTAGAACATGGGTGCGGTAATTATCAAAACATATTTTTTGGCAAGCCCAAGCTTTACAATGTCAAAATTAATAGATATTATACAATTTTTTACAGCACTGATCTAAAAAAAAACTATTAGTAAATCCAGTTGTGCATGCCATAAGCGCATTAAAAAAATTACGTATCACATGATTATTTGACATGATTATGCTTAATTTTTTAAGTAGTTTCAATACACACAAGTTTTCAATAATAAACTTATAATTATACTTCCAATTTAGTTATATCTTTATGTAAAACTTCAATTTAAAAAATTTTTGGAAAATCCAACTATAACTAACAAAACGAGCCTCAACTCGGCACATCTAGTACTTCTCCTCGAGGAGTTCCAGTAGCAGATACCGACATACCTTCAGGTCTATAAAGTCCAAGACGTATAAGTATATATATTCTGCGTTCTTTTAGCGAAACACAATATTGTAATAGAAATCTGTGATTATAAAAATAATAATATTATCTTACCTTGGTCAACTATGTATCAAATTGGTTTTTGAAATATTTTGTATTTCTACAGCGATCGATATTTTTCTGAACGAGCTGTGGTAACAAACGACCACTCCCGACGGTGTTCGAGCTTGGAGTAAATAAAGTAAGCGCATACATACACGCTAAATCCCAAAACAAGAATTTAATCGTAAAATCTTTAAAAAAAATTCTTAGTAACCAATCACAGCGCCAGGAGCTTAGGCCTCCACCCGCTGCCGGCATGCTTCGATAAGCTGTCTTTCTGGCACTTATGGCTACGCATAAGACTTTTTTGTCGTATTAGTTGGTAAACTTTATTCACGTCTGGGAATTGTTTACAACCGCTAAATTCGTCTGGCGATTTGCAGGTGTTATTAAAGATTACTCAATAAATACGTGATTAAAATTTGAGATTGCCAAAAGTATATTTTTTGGGAATAAAAAAATTCTTGGGGAGGTCTGGTAATACTTTATAACCGACAAAAACCTTTGGGATTATTTTTTTTTGAATTACATAAAAACTAAATTAAAAGGTTAAAAAAGAAATCAAGTTATAAAAGCTTTTACAAAATTTACTTCGCAAATATCCGCGTTATAAAATAAAATGATGTGTCTTACCTAGTATGAAGAGCACCTCCCGCCCTCCCTCAATAGCGTGCACTATCCCCGTCACCACTACTCCCAACACCACTACACTAGGCAAGACACACCACTGACGACAATACGACACGTGTTTCGCCTCTACACGAGGCTTCCTCAGGTGATATAGAATCTACGGTGGCTAACCGCTAAGTGAGCGGCGATCCAAAACAACTGCCTTTTTTACAGACCGATAACGCAACCGCTCTCTACTTAAGGAGCGAGCGACTGCGTCATGCGATAAAACATGCAACCAATCACCGCCGAACTTACGCAGCCGTTTGTAACATTAAAAACAAACCGCCGCGCAACGCCCGCCTACCCTCCAACCACGCAACCAATCGCCGATCACCGTGAGGGTGACAAACGACCATATTGCGAGGCTCTCTATTATTAGAGAGCAGGCTTAAAGATATTCAAGAGAGGTGAGTTAGTAACATTTGTTTGTTCATTCAGCAGTGCAACTTATGTTGTTGCAACAATATGTTGTTTTTCGAAATTATCCATGAAAATGTCCGCCATAAGGGGACTTAGAGGGGACCCCATAGCTAACCCTTCTTTTTGTAGATAGAAACGGTTATTAAACCGGAAATAGTATTGTTTCATAAAGAGAGAGGTTAAGTTAAGAAGATCATTTGTTTCCCCGGGATGTAGACGACGTCTTTCAAAGAGATCTGCGAGTATACGCAAACAGTCAGGGGATGGGACATTTGTGAAAAGACTATCAACGTCTAAAGATAACAATATGGATTTAGGAGGAATACGAATATCTTTAATTTTGGAAATGAGATCTAAGCCATTTTTAGGCTGTAAGTGGGGTTGAATCCAGATTTCTCTCGAAGGAGGAAGTTTAATTTTTTAGCAAGGAAATAAGCTGGTGCACCAATATATGAGACAACTGGACGAAAAGGAACATGTTCTTTATGTAGTTTTGGTAACCCATATAAAATGGGTGCTTGAGGATTCATTGGAACAAGATTGCTCCGAGACATGTTGTGATCGGGACAAACATATGATGACTGTTGTATATATAACTTAATATCCGAAGTAAACTTTTTGGTTGGGTCAGACTCCGATAGCTCAAAGTCATCACCTTGGATAACATCGTTAACTTTCCGGCTGTACCCACTACTCTCCATAATAACAACAGTATTGCCTTTATCGGCTTTAGTAACAATAAGGTCGTTTTCCCTTATTCTCTGCTTTAGGGACTTAAAAACAGGGAACTCAGGATTGAAATGGGAAGACGCGGGCACAGCCCGAATTTCATTAGCTACCAAACTTTTAACGATGTTATCTTTCTTCCCGATCACAACAGCCATCTTCGCATCAACAGCCATAGTCTCTAACGATTTTTGGGAGACCGAAGGTGTTAAATTATACTTTAGGCCTTTATGTAAAAGTAACAACTCATCTGTTGGAAACTGGACATCGGAAAGATTTTTAACTCGGGGATAAAATTGGTGATATTCTGTATGTATGTCGTTATTACGATTACGCGATGAAGAGGATACAAGTCGTTGTAATTTACGGGACTGAATTTGATATTTCTCGTAAACAGCCATTGAAGCAAGTTCCCCGGCTTTCCCATCCAAAATATCAAATTCAACATTATGTAATTTATATGAAAGTTTAGAGTATAATACTTTAAGGTGGATTTTTAAATTATCTCTATTGGAAAACCAAGGACGTACACTCCTCATTAAGCCAAATGTTCTGAGCTTTAGAAATAGCAATACTGGCCGCTCGACTATTTGTGCCGGAACGTATTTGAATATAATTGGGAATAACATGAAGTTGTTTGCACTGCTGATTGAACCAAACATTTTGGGCAGCAATACGATGGAGTTTTGTTAATTTGACATAGAGTCTTGCCTGGTCGGCCGTGCTAGCCTTTTTAATATAATTAATAGAATCAGGCTTTACTTTGCGGAAATCCATTATATAAAAGCTTTTAGAAAATTTACTTCGCAAATATCCGCGTTATAAAATAAAATTATGTGTCTTACCTAGTATGAAGAGCACCTCCCGCCCTCCCTCAATAGCGTGCACTATCCCCGTCACCACTAATCCCAGCACCGCTACTCCCAACACCACTACACTAGGCAAGACACACCACTGACGACAATACGACACGTGTTACGCCTCTACACGAGGCATCCTCAGGTGATGTAGACTCTACTGTGGCTAACCGCTAAGTGAGCGGCGAGCCAAACTCTTTGGCACTCTTTGGTGACGGGGATTTTTTTTACAATGTTATATGTTGCGCAGTAGCAAAATAACCGCAAACGCTCAGCCAGACTCGCGGGACTGGATTCGCCAATTGACGAAATTATATTTTTTCACAATTTCAACTTGCCCAAAGGACCTTCCCAAAATTCGTCGCCAGCTCTCAGGCTAGGATATGGCGGTGAAAGGGTTAAATAGTCCAAATGACTGTCTGACAAAAAGCCCCACTCTTTTTGTCAGACAGTTAAAGATAAAACATATTTAATTTTCGTAATTGTTTATTTCCAGATACAATGAAGAACTATCATACATGAATGTCTAATGTTTAAATAACAATAATATTATTAAATCGACATTTTAATTTTTCTTGGGGATAGCATGACCATAAATTGTGTGGGCAATTCCAGCTAAACCTAAAATACATAAAGCCATAGTAAAACGATACAGAATAGCATCCATAGGACCACCTTTCAAGAACACAGGAACATCATTTTCTTTCTGTAACAAATTTATTTTTGATTTAGTAAATGTTTTAGAAATCGATTTTTTGAGAATCGATACATCAGCTTACAATTCGAATCTATTTAAAAAATCGATCTTTTTCGGAAAGAATTGACATCCCTACTGACAATAACAATAAAAAATGACGTCAGTTTTATTGTAGGATTAGACATAAACAATGCAAGAATTATTGATTTTCAATAACTTTTTTCTCAAAAATTACGCGCTTCCGCATGTTGTGACTTTGTGTGTGTGCTTATAATAGTGTAACTTTTCTGTAAAAATACGTATCAACCCCCAACTCGACGGGAGTCAATGGAAAGCCGTACCAAATATACTTTTCATTTTAAAATTATCACATAAGCTTGTGTTATAAGTAATGTACGCGTAAAGGGTATACTAAGTATAACACAAGCTTAATTGATTATTTAAAAAATTTACCTCCATTATTGTGGAGTGCCTATAGAAATTTCTCCTATGACTTAGGTGTTTCACAAGCCTGAGTAATTGTTCATTGCATCGAATAGTTTCAAACAAAATTACTATTGCATGAGCATAGCTTTGCACTTTTTTTCTCTTACCTCTTCCCTGCAAATTCCCTTTGTCCCCCTGCTATCACATGCCCTCTACTAATGTTGTAATAACAAGTGCTGATATATTATGTTCATTCTGATATTTCAGTCTATTATAAATACACTGCTAAACATAGACCTCTCCCAGATTGCTTCATAGAGGAAATTTTGCCATAATTTTCATGCCATTTGTGTAATAAATACTAATAGTGGGTCAACTCCTTTGTTATACCGTAAAATACCTGCAAAGCTTGTCACTAAAACATTTCCTTAAATAATAATATCATAACATTATATTTTATCAGTATTCCTTGTAATAATTTATTTTTCTATACAAAGATAGAAGCTAATTACTACTTTACAAAACTAGTTGCATTCTGTAGCTTCACCTGATTTGTTGTGATGGAAACAAAGGTGTGTTGGTAGGTACCTATCCAATTTTACTATATTTTACCTACATAGCAGTATCTCAGATATTGTGCTTAAAATATTTGATAGGGGGTTGAACAGAATAAATAAAACAGGTTAAAATTATATGTTGGTCCTGTTTATTCAACTGCATCGTTAAAGATTTTTTTTATGCAACTGACAAATATTTACGACATTTATTATTGGATTTTTTTAAATTATATTTTGTTGAATTTAATGATATAATGAATTCCCATACTTACAAGTAATTCAATTAAAAATCATGATGTAAGCAATCACGTTATTAGAATTCAATTTTAATTAAAGTGTCACACAATCTTTCCCAATATTTCAAAATAATATTGCGGTTATATAATGTTGCTGAGAGAACACCAAAATCGTGTTTCAGTATATGTGACATTCCTAAATAGGCGTACCGGTGAAGCGTACCGGCAAGCGAAGCCGACCTGTATTACCGCAGACATATCGGACAGGGGCAGGGGGTGTCTCCTTCATACCGCGCGCCATCGTTGCACTGTCTAGTCGCTGTCTTGACTCACTATTAGTATTTATTACACATATGGCCACGCTCAGAAGACAGGTTAGCAACTGCAGATTATTTTCATGTTATCAGGAAGATGCTGCTACATATTTGCTGTTTCAGTTTCCCTCTGGTGCCTCTTACAACACAGATTCTCTTATGTTACCTCTACACAGTGCTGCAAGTACTCTCATTGAAAGTAAAATTCTTAAATTCATGCAAGGTTTTGTTTGTAATATTTGTTATCAAAGGTAAAACTGTGAAGAAGGAATTGTTATTTACAATGAGCCTTTCAAGTACCACCGAAGCAGGCTTCGGGGTTCAATTTTCTCTTACTTTTGCTAACAAAGGGAGCGAGAGGAATATTAAAAATCTTATGTATGATAAAAGAAATATTTTTATAATCTAAATTAATAATACTATTTCTATTATTGTGAAGATGTGCTACCAATTGTTAATAATGTAGAAACTTAGATACATACTATGGAAAAGCATAATAAACATTAATTAATATAAAACTTTTTTAAATTTATTTTACTGGAAATTAAACTGAGAAAACATTTTTTTTATTTTTAAGAATCTATTGCTTCCTAAATTATTGAACAAAAAAAAATTGTAGGAATGTAAAACAATTCTTGATTTAGGGTGAAAATCAAAAAACTATGGTTCAAATATATATTGGATTTTGTTTATTATGCTAATTAAAACTGCCTGTGAAGTTCTCAAGGTCAAATGAAGAGCGAGTTGGTGGGGTAGTACATATTGTTAGAAAGACGACAACACTCTCAATCATCATTATCATTACAGCCCTTCACAAATCCATTGCTGAACATAGGCCTCCCCCAAGGAATGCCACAAAGCATGGTCTTGAGCCACCTGCATCTATTGACTTCCTGCAAGTATTACCGGGTCATCACTCCATCTCGTAGAGGGTCGCCTTACACTTCGCCTACAAGTATGAGGCTGCCACCCGATATTTTTTTTCCCCATTGGTTGTCGAATCTTTGAGCTATATGCTCGGCCCATTGCCACTTCAGCTTACTAATCCCTTGGGCTATGTCGGTCACTCTGGTTCTATTGCAGACATCCTCATTTCTAAGTTTATCACATAGAGAAACTATGAGCATACCCAAGCACTGGTTGTACAATCTAGTTTTCAAGTTTTTAGGTACACCTGACAAGAAGATATATCGTAATCTCCCAAATGCTGCCCAGTCGAGTTGAATCCATTGATTGACCTCTTGGTCAAAGTTAGATTTACCTAGTTGGACTATTTGTCCCAGGTAAACATACTCGTCAACAACTCGAGCTTATTGCTCCCAACAACTATTGGCATAGGTTCGACATGGATACTCAATGTATCAAGTTAATTAGATTTCTACCATGCTTACTCACTTTAAAAGCATCATAATGTTATTTTTGGATTAAAAAAATCACAATGATTTCAATTAAGCAGTGATCCACTGTTAAATTGAAATCAATAGCAACTTAGTACATATGTTACTAATATAAACTTAGATTAAACACATTATTATCCTACATCCTTACCTGATGAGTATAAAAAATGTTTAACTATTTTTAAAAAATAAGCATAAGCTAATAATTAAGCATATATATAAATCTAACCTGGAATAGTTCTTGCTGTTTCCTGAGTTTTTCGGGAACTGGTGGATAAGGAATATTGGTGCCAGGGATTAGTTTTCTGGATCCAGGTGCTGGGCAAGCAGAAGCTTCGGTTACCGTCGACAGATGGGCGGTGTTGTACTGAATTTGAGGAGGCTCTACTCGTTGAAGGGCGACAGGCGCCTAAAAATAAATTTAAAAAGGGTAAAAATCAATAATTACATGGTATGGTTTCTATAAGTACTAGAGATACTTACAATTGGAAACAGCGGGCTCTGCAAATGGGTTGCAGAAATCAATCTACCGGTTACTTTGCTTAATTGGTGATACATTTTCTTAAATCGATATTACGTAGCACACAGCAGTGCGTTATAAATGAAGTTAAAATTCTAGCCCCTGTTACGAAACAAGTAGGTACTTATCGAATATGGATGCGTTCTTAAATTAGACTATGATTAAACATCACCGTCATATCTCTAGAGTGCAATGTAATTCATGTTTCATAATCCATTACATTAGAGAAATTCGAGGTCGAGAACAATCATAATTTAACTTTAACAAGAATCTCTCTTCTCAATAACATAAATATCGCAACGTTGAAAACAATACTAAAACTATTTAAATTTTGGTTTTTAAACGCTTATATAAAGCAGTGTTTACACTATAACATTAAGTGACTGATATCACTGAGTGCTCTGAGGAATTGTTTTCAGCCGCCAAATTTCATCAACGCACATCGCGACAAAACTTACGTTATCATCTGGATGCTTGGCAGTCCACTACTATGCGATTTACTAGGAGGTTTCCGAGTTAGTCACCGGTGATTTTTCCGGACTGATACGACTTAGAGACCTTCAAGAAACGAGCTTACTCCGGCCGGCAATGCACTTGCAATTTCACTGGTGTTCCAGTCGTTAATGGTTGGGGGTCCACACTTTCCATCAGGTGAGCCGCATGCTCGTTTGCTTTTGTTTCTGCTATAAAAAACCATGATATCACTTAGCGATGAGCGTTTTTCAAAAAAAGTGTTCACTATAGTAAAATTATTTTCTCCGTGCAGTTGGGGTCATAAATCATAGCTCAGCCTTAGCCCAGCTAGGGCGGTGAGCATATGTCGTGGGCGCAACGCCATTATTGATAACAACAAATGATTTTATGTTTATTTAATAAATATTTATTAATTATAATATTTATATAATAATGTAAATGATTTTTACTTTTATATTTATTTTTAATACAAGTTGTTACATTCCAAACATTTGTACTTATAGTTTTTTAATACATAGATTTTTTTTTATAGGATAGGGTGACAAACGAGCACACAGTCCACCTGATGGTAAGTGGTTGCTGTGGCCCATAGACATCTACATTTATCTTCGTTTGCGAATCAAAATGCAGATGCGTTGTCACCCGTGAGGACTAAGATAAAATGCCTCTTTTCCAGCAAAACCGCGGTTTTGTGAGCTGACGAATCGGGCTTGTATGGTTAGCACTTTCCTTCACAAAAATCTAAAAAATACAGGACAATGAACAGTTAAAGCAAAAGAAATGATCTATGTAAATCAGTGAATATATGATAGGCTGTAGTAATGACGAATCTGATTTCATTTATTAGTTTCTTTAAGGAATGCCACAAAATACAGTCCTGAGGTGGAGCAAATATCAAAAAAAAATTAAAATGTGTAAGTATGAAATGAATGTCGTCGTTGTTATAATATTGGAGAAATTTCGAATGCCAGCGGATTGCTGCTCCTGTGCTATCGTTGGAAAAATAGTCTGATCAATAATTTTTCAGTTATTCTTAATAATTTATATTGAAAACGTTTGTACAAAATTTTAAAATCTGTCTGATTGGTTAAGCTGTTGTAAAAACTCTCAATTTGAAATGTGATGCATTAGCTGCTTCGATCAACGAAACCAACTAGATATCGGTTCGGCGCAAAAAATACATCCCAATAAATAACAGCGCACAGAAAACTTGTGTTCTTAAGGTCAATTTGATAAAAAGCCCATAAAAACAACCAATTAAAAAGTCATAGGTACTTACTTACCCGCTTCCTAGGAAGTCACAAAACGGTAGTTCCGTAAGTTCAATTGTACAAAAATAAACTTTTTTTTCTAACAATAACTTGTCAATTGTTATCAAATCAAAAATCAAAATTACTTGTATTCAAATGTCTTGTGGTAGGTAAGTAAGTGTAAAAAAAAAAGTGTCGATAAACGATAATTGCACCTTGTGACTGTCCTATTTATTATTTTCATTATTTTCGCCATTTTGGAAATTTGAAGTTTCGCTTTAAGTTTACCGCCAATATTTCAGGATACGGGTGCGTTTTGCTGCTTACGCGCTTTGCTTCAAGTGATTTAATTTTCGTAAGATAAATACAATTATTCAAACAATAGTTTTACTGTGAAATGGACACTTATTAGTTAATTGACTTTGTGTGTGTAAATAGTGTTTTTAAATACGTTTATTTTTATTAGTTTTTGACAACATTATGCGGCGATGTAACTTGTGCATTCAAGAACGTGGCGGACATTGTGAAAACTTTAAAATTTAGGGTTCAATTAAATTTTGCAACTAACATGTAATATTTATTTCGTTCAGTTCCACTATGAAGTGGCAGTAAAAATACCTAAACAGTTTAGTGAGTAAGTTTTTATTTCGTCGCACATTGTCAAACGAATCAAAGGCCGTGACCACAATAACGCTGCCGGCCGCCAACCGCTATGCCACCCGCGTGCAACGTTGCCACTCTTCCAAGGGGTCAGGGTACGTAGTCTAAACAGAGTGTTTACTTTTACTGAATTTATTTTAATATTTATTTAGTTTGAAAATTTCACTTTTTTAATTTATGGATTTTAATTTAATATTTAATTTTTCTACACTCCTATGGACTAGTATTACTTGTGGTTTCATTTATTGCATATATGTGGATTCCTTACTGTATATACATAGAAAAACTAAAATAAATATATATTGAATTATATAATTAAATGCAATCATTATACTACATACTATATTATATTTAATCGCTAGTGTGGAAAGTATGTATATGCCAAGAAATATAAATGCCTAAAGCATAAATAATTTTAACTAAACTTAAGATCATATTATAAATTATTCTAGTGTTCAACGCGACTCATACCTCCTGTAGCAAAATTCGAAGAAGCAAACAGAAACTAAACAAAACGACGTAGGTTGCAAGGCAATAACGGAAAAAGCGCTTTAATTTGTTATTAATTAAGGTTGATTTCACACTAAATGTTTTTTAACCTATGTCTTTTCATTTCCAAGTGACAGGAGTAATGCATTGATTTGTTCTTTTTGTAACTAATGATCGTAAGATTTGTGACTTTTTTACTAGATGCCATGGTTGTAATTGGGTTGAACATAAAACTGTTTTCATTTTTTGTCTTAGTTCTTTAGTAAACAAATGTAGCTGCATAAGTATATATTTACGCGGACAACATTTAACTATGATTTCGTACGTGACCCGTTATCTAGTTGGTATTGTTGATCGAAGATTAGCTGTGAAGAATTTTGTGAACAAAGTATATGTCAGATTAGGTTGTATGGTCTAATACTTTTCCCTGCCTTAATTGTCGTCTCATTATAACAATATCAACGTCTATGGTCTATGCCCTTCTCATTCTAAATTTTTCTTTCGAGTTTCTGAAAGTCGATTAGAGCACATTTCATAAAGGTTAGTTTTGAATATTGAAAGGTTTGTAAATTATCTAGTGGTAATAATTATTTAAAAATATTTTTTCTTTTTTTAATCTAAAAATTGAAAGCCTCCAGTAATGGTGTGGCATGACATTCGAATCTAATATTCGAAATTTAAATTTCCTCGTGGCGTGTCAACATGATGACGGCGATTGGCTTTTATTCTTTTCATTTTTTGGCCATCTGAAACTACTAAAATTAAAAGTATTTATTTAGCTACGGTAACTTCTCTTACAGCTAAACCATGCAGATCTTCGTTAAAACCCTCACGGGGAAGACTATTACATTAGAGGTTGAAGCCTCTGATACTATTGAAAATGTTAAGGCGAAAATTCAAGACAAGGAAGGTATCCCTCCAGATCAGCAAAGATTGATTTTCGCTGGCAAGCAATTGGAAGATGGTCGTACCTTATCAGACTATAACATCCAGAAAGAATCAACTCTTCACTTGGTTCTGAGACTTCGTGGAGGTAAGTTTTTAAATAGTTCAGACTTTGTCTTTATGAACCTATTCTTTTATGTATTCAGCAGTTCGTAAATAATCCATTGCTGGACATGGGCTCATATTAGGGCAAAGACATTTAAGTAGTAGTAGTAATAGACTTTTAAGTAGAAGTAGTGACAGACTGCAATATTGTGATTGAAGATGAACAAATTAAACAGGTAAAAGAGTTTGTCTATCTGGGTTCAAAGTTTACAAGAGATGGAAAGTGTGAGAGTGATATCGAAAGAAGAGTGAATGCAGGAAACATGGTGAATGGAGCTTTGCACTCCTTTATGAGCAGTCGGAAGGTGTCTAACAAGGCTCGTTTGGCTGTGCATGAGGGGGTGTTGGTTCAGACACTCATGTACAGAAGTGAAACTTGGGTATGGCAGAAGAAACATGAAAGCAGAATAAATGCAGTTGAGATGAGAGCATTAAGAAGTATGATAGGAGTTAAACTGAGTGACAGGATAAGAAATAGTGAGATAAGGAAACATTGTGGTCTGAAAGAAGATGTAGTGACAAAAATTGAGAAAGATATGTTGAGATGGTTTGGCCATGTCGAGAGAATGAATGAAGAACGATTGACGAAAAAAGTGTATAAGGCGAGTGTGAATGAAAGTGTTGGAAGGGGTAGACCTAGGCGGACATTTCTAGACCAAATCAAAGACGTCTTGAAAAAAGGCCATGTCAAGCGTACCCTAAACCGTAGAGCATGTATGAAGGGAGTAATGAAAGTGGACGAAGCAAAACAAGTATGTAAGGATCGTAGTATGTGGAAAGAACTGGTCTCTGCCTACCCCTACGGGAAAGAGGCGTGATTATATGTATGTATGTAGTAATAGACCGGACATCAGTAGCAAAATTGTCGTCTAACTTATGTCCTATAGGATATATCTCCGATTTTTGTCATTTAGTCTTAGTGACATCGTCAAAAAGTCAAGACCCATACGTTTCATATATTTAAAAATATTTTTAAAGAAATATGCCCCGTTGTCCATTAAGATATTGTAAGTTACAATATGGAGCAAAAAATGAACGTAATATTGGTTTATTATCGTAAATATAATGTATATTTACCGAATAATCTTTTAATTTTATTATTTCTAGTAGATTGTTCTAGAACATTTATTTTTATTGTAATAAGCGCCCTCTGTTATCCAGTAAACGTTACTAGTTAGTTACCAATTTTAATCATAAAACATGTATATTCCCTATTATTATATCGAAAAGCATTTCAAACATAGTAATCTTCAACAACATTATCGATACTTTGATATCGAAACGGTAACATTCCTAAAAAGAGGTTATATTTATTAGTGCCACCTACTGGGGAATAGCTAAAATGTTGTCTTAATAAATGCTTAGCGTTGTTTTGCTATTTTTAGCTAGAGGGTGCCACACGTGCACTAGCTCAAAGTTTTTGTATATAAATGTTCCCAATGTCTGCTCTATAGTATACCTATATATTTAAATCTCTTTGTATTAGGGTATGAGGCAGAACTTTTTGTGTTCACCACACTAGCAGATCTGATCATAATGTGTCACTAAGGCAAGAGTGAATAGGTTTTTGGTACATTAATTCAGTGTGCTGTACCATTAGGTGAGATAGTATTCTAGCACTGGCTTATAGTAGTTATAAAAACAGAATGTGGATACTAGTAAACTGTTGTTTGGTTAAAATTGTACTTATGCACATAGTGTGTTAGTAAATCTTTTAACTGTATGTAATAAGTTTGGATATTTCGATAATATTTTGAATTCTTTCATTCAGGTACAATTGAGCCTTCTCTTCGCATCTTAGCCATGAAGTACAACTGCGACAAGATGATTTGCCGCAAGTGTTATGCTCGCCTTCATCCCCGTGCTACAAACTGCCGTAAAACCAAGTGCGGCCACACTAACAACCTGCGCCCTAAGAAGAAGCTCAAGGATTAGTTAATTAAGAATTTGTTACAATGTATATCTAATCCAAAATTAATATGCAACTTAAAATGTACACTAAATAAATAAAAATGGAACACCATGTAATTGTATTTGATTCTGAGTGCTTAATTGTAAGGCTTTGTGCAGTATATTTTTATAATTTAAATCATCCTGCTAGTTCTTCCTAGTACCAGTACGGAGGTATTTTTTGAACCAATTTGACCAAAATAAGTAGGTATAATGTAACCCAATTCAAATTGTTGCTTATGAAGTAGTTTCATTTATGAGGCATTAACTGATTCGTTGCGGCACTGATTTTCGACAGCTTTTAGCTGTGGAGGCGAACAAATATTACATGACATGCCTGGCGTGTCAAGCGCCACAGACACGCCTATTGTGCCATCAGCCATGTGTAAAAGTAATGTTCTTTTTTATGCTTTTTTTACATGTTTAGACCTAATTAAGTTTATTTGACATCAAATATAAGTTACAAATGGAAGGATACTTGTTTTTAGTGGGTAACTACGTGTTTTTTTACGTGTTTACTTTGAAATTGAGAGTAAGTGACTTTTTTATGAAGAGATTCCAAACTTTTTGTACTATTTATTGTTTTATAAAAAAAATTATATAAGTAGGTACAGCTAAATCACCCTGGAAAACCTTGGTTTTTATTAAATTAAATTTTCACCTAATAATAATATTGGTAAATATCAAACAATCAAGAACCTTAATTTGGGAAAAAATAAGGTTTATGATTTATTAATATTTACAAATGTTAAATATTATTTAATGTTATACAATATGTAAAAGTAAAGTCGATTCGAAAACGTCTAATTAGTAAGAATAGCAAAACAAGTGTTTTCAAAAGGAAACAAACGCCGGCGCTATACGGCGGTAGATTGACAAAAGACTATTTATTAGCGAACTTTTTTTTACATGAACGGTTTCAAACTGTTTCAAGCGAAAATAAACCTTATACTGTATCACAAGAGCACATGCTACTTCGTAGGTCTATTCGGCCATATGATAGTAATACGACGGCAGTTCAACCATTTTAAGCAAAATTAAACAATAAGACTCATTGTTTTTTTTTTAACAGGACACTTGTTTTCCAGAAATTTATTTACAACTAGAGTTTGTGAGCGATCGCAATGAGTGCTATTATTTGTAACTTTGTAACATGATTGAAAACCCACAAAGTAAAAAGAGTACATGTACAAGTTAAAAAACGGTTGTCAACCCCTAAAAATTTCAAATTTTCAAAATATCCAGAAACGAAGCCGCATGCATGAACTACTTGCAAAATAATGAATATTTTGTTCTGGATAAATTTTCCAAAAACGCAATTTGAGCGAGTTATAACGATTTATAAAAAGACACGACTCGTGTGTCATACGGCACATGCAAAAGTAATCGATGGCACGCCTGGCGTGCCATCCGCACTGAACCGGTTAATATTATGGTTCCTTACAGGCCAGATGGATTCAAAGATATTTTTTTTCTCTTCAATCCACCTTTGTATCCATGAATAATTACTTGTCTTTGATTAACCTGTTAATTTGTATACTGATGACAGCCTTGTTGGGCTAGTAGCTGTGTTGTATAAACAAAATTATTGTTAAGTGAAATTATGTTTAAAAAAAAAAGTCCCGCTGGGTTTCTTGCTGGTTCTTCCCAGGACAAGAGGTATTTTCCGAACCAGTGGTAAATAAAATAATGACTTTCAACAAGTATTATGTAATAATCCATATTGAATAAAAATCATTCTATTCTATTCTAAGCTCGACTGCTGGTCTTGGGTTAAAATCCCATTATATCTAATAAAAAATATTATTTTGCAATTGCTAACTACCTTAGAAGTCCATAAAAGGAGACAACCAGTTCTGGAAAGGAAGGGTTATTAAATAAAAGTGGATAACAGACCACTTTTATTCTGTTATTCATCCTAGGGTGGATACTCAGAAACACGTGTCCATCTATCCATCCAGTCTGGGATGGATAATCCAAATTTACCTATATTTGTACTTCAGACTTTTTACCCCAAGTACAGTTCAACACATACGTACACTTTAATTATTAAATAATTTTGAATAACCGTAAACCTAATCAAAACCATATTATGTATTGCCGTTGCCATTACCGTTACAGCCTATTAAATTCCATGCATTACGTATTGCATTTAAATCAAATTACACTCCTCATTTAAAATAATATTATTGCGTAATATATGAATTCTGCAATATGTCTAGGCAATTACCAACACTAATTTCATTATTGAGTAGACGTAATTTCATATCCTGTATAATTTCAACGTACCTACATCTGTAATCCTTTTCTAAATTTCAACAGATATGGTAGCGAAGAACTGGGCGTTTTTTTGCAAGCATTCCAAAGTTACTATTGGATGTGTCTTTAACTTCATTTTAAATTATTTTATACCAAGATTCCAATGAATCTGCAATCCTATGAGGTACTCCTTTTATTTCAGCACTAGCTGTGCCCGCGGCGTAGCTCGCGTATACAGGTTTTACATAAAGAATTTATCGTTTAGGTAAGAGAATATTAAACGATTTATTTCATTACTGTATCAATAAGTGGTAACTAAATAAATCATTATCATCAAAGTTCTAAGTCGTTTATGATAGAGCTTCTGTGTAAACGACGTTAGAAGTAGGCTTAGCCGGGGTGTACACAAAAAGGTTACGGGGGCTACTAACGCGGGAAAAAGCAACATAGATTTGGCCATGTGCAAAACAGTCAGTACTGAGGTACACTCCTACAACGCGTAAAGTTTGACCTTGCGCTTTATTTACGGTCATCGCATAACACACGCTCACTGTAACTGGAAACTGAACGCGCTTAAAACTGAAAGGAAAGTTACTTCTTAATAGAGGGTTTTTGGGCAGTGCTGCCAGATAAAAAAAACTCATTCAGCTCTAGGACAACACAAAAAGCGCTAATTTCATGAAAACAGCGCTTTAAAAAAGCCCTAGATTTCGCGCTAAATTAACTACAAACAAAGTTTGTGTTTTTTTATATAATCATGATAAAGAAACAACATTAAGTTTTTTTTCTGGCAATATTTTTTTGATGTATCAATACTTCGCAGGACATCGACTTATAATTATGGCAATTGCTGTCAACAGTAGTTAGTACTGTACGAACAATAAAAATATCATGAATTGTTTTAAAGTGCAATGTATTTCGCAACTTAGTTTCAGATGTCAGCATCTGATTGTGGTTGCTACACAGTTTCTTTGTGTTATAACTTCTAAGTAACTTTTAACTTAGCTGTGCTCTAAGCAACTGACTGAAACTGAATAAAGCAAAATAAATGCGTTGCCAAAACCATGAACGAAAACTTTAATAAAGGGGATTTCCCCGCTTATAGTCGTCGGTAAAAAAATCAAGTTGATCATCCTAAAGGGGAAGTCAGGAGATCCATAGCACAGGGTATCCTAGTTTGTACTCGTCTCCCATGCTCTTTGTTTTGTGGAAAAAATATGTTTGAAAAAGATAAACTGCAATGTACTATTTGTGGGAAAAAATAATAAAGGTCATTATTATTATTATCGGTAATGTGGACTAACAGTGCTGCTATAAAAGAGTTAATAACCCGCTAGTCGCTAAAATATTGAAATGTGTGCTAAATACACCAAAAAGCGCTGGATTAAGCTAGGTGCTAAAATTTCGAAATGCGCGCTATACACTCCAAAAAAGCGCTAAATCTAGTTCCCAAAGCGCTAAAATGGCAGTACTGATTTTGCGTATATTATAAATACAATATCACGACATTTCGTTGCAAAATTTTTATTTTTGGTCGGGTTCCATTGTATGGCTTCGATGGATACAAATTTCTTCAGTAAGTCTCAATACGATTCATCGGTGAAAAATCTCAACACAGCAATTCAGAAAAGTTTGTAATTTGTACAACTCCATCTATTACGTCCTTTGTGTGAGAAAACATCCTTTTTAAATCTTTTTTTGTGTTTTAAGTATAAATATATTAATTATCATGGAACGTTTTTTTTACACACAAGTCTTTTTATTACTATTTCTGAGATTTTATGGCGCCATTAAACAAATTCGAACCTACATTTCAAAATAATAATCATTACTTTCGATAGAATTAACCAATTTTAATAAAACAAAGATTAAATGTAACTCGAAGATATGCTTTATGATTTTCTTAACGATTTCTTTGAAAATAAAAGATGTTTACTTTAGACGTGATGCGTTCATATAATAACAGACAAATAGACAGACAGACAATTCTAAAAATTATAAAATGTTCTTATTTAATTATTTTCAGTTCCCCATAATGATTTTAGCCACAAAAATATATATACAATGTACAGAAAGAGACACAACATGTTATCATCATTTTTATTATATGTATATATTTAAAGAGAGATGGCGCTGCTAACATCAATTCTAAAAATAAAAGAGATTAATTGACGCGATTGATACATTATATAAAACGCAAGAGAACTTATAAATCAGTGCCTGCACAGTAAGCAAAAAATAAAGTTTGACTCTCGCCAAAACCAACGCAATTGTTAATAGCTCTTTTAAAATTTGATTTACCACATAGAGTACTCGGTGGTAAAGAATAAATTGAGTTTGTCAACACGCAGTAGGGCAGCGAGTAATATAATAAAGATTAGCAGTAAATATGAAAACTCATCTACAGGAAAAAACCATATTGCTATTGCATTACATTTTCACAACACCACCATCTATCGAAGAAATGGGTTAACTATTGTGCTTCAGATTTAGTTAATAAGGTTAATATATTTTTGTATAATATATTTAATACGTTCTTTAATACTTTTGTTTACTGCGTTTTAGATATACATAATTATATCATTATTTTACATAATTTAACTATGATTTATGATATGATATTAGTTTAAAATGCACTTGATGACTCAACCAAAGCCACCGTTGAGCAAATTCGTACCTATACTTCCCTACCCATACTTCAGAATATTTATCATAACTTTTGATGGAATGAACTGATTTTAATGAAATAAAGACTAAATGTAACCCGAAGATACACTTTATAATTTCCTTAACAATTCTTATGATATAAATTA